TGCCCCCACCTCAGCCTCCCAGGGTGGCGTGAGCCATTGTGCTGGGCCTGTTGAAAGATTTTTTTTTTTTAAGAGACAGAATCTCCCTTTATCACCCTCAGTAGAGTGCCGTGGCAGCGTCACACAGCTCACAGCAACCTCCAACTCCTGGGCTTAGGTGATTCTCTTGCCTCAGCCTCTTGAGTAGCTGGGACCACAGGTGCCCGCAATAACACCCAGCTATTTTTTTGTTGCAGTTTGGCTGGGGTGGGTTTGAACCCACCACCCTGGGTATATGGGGCCGGCACCCTACTCACTGAGCCACAGGTGCTGCCCTGTTGAAAGATTTTTTTTAAACTAACTAAATAAGTTGCTTTACTTGCTATAGGCTTATTCAAATTTTGTATTTCTTCTCTAGGGATAAAGAAGAGCAAACCAAACCTAAAGCCAGTAAAGGAAGGAAATATATAGAGGTCAGAGTGAAAATTAATGAAACAGAAAATGAAAAAATTGAGGCCGGGCACAGTGGCTCATGCCTGTAATCCTAGTACCCTATGAGGCCAAGGCGGGTAGATTGCTTGCGCTCATGAGTTCAAGACCAGCCTGAGCCAGAGCGAGATCCCATTTTTTTTTTTTTAGAGACAGAGTCTCACTTTATTGCTCTTGGTAGAGTGTTGTGGCACCACAGCTCACAGCAACCTTCAACTCCTGGGCTTAGGCGATCCTCTTGCCTCAGCCTCCCGAGTAGCTGGGACTACAGGTGCCTGCCATGATGCCCAGCTATTTTTTGTTGCAGTTTGGCCAGGGCCGGGTTTGGCCATATACCACCCTTGGCATATGGGGCTGGTGCCCTACTCACTGAGCCACAGGTGCAGCCCACAAGACCCCATCTTTAAAAGTAGCCAGGTGTGGCTCAGCTCCCATTGCTCAGTGGTTAGGGCACCAGCCACATACACTGGAGCTGGCAGGTTTGAACCTGGCCCCAGCCTGCTAAACAATGACAGCTGCAACAAAAAAAATAGCCAGGCATTGTGGTGAGTGCCTATAGTCCCAGCTACTTAGGACGCTGAGGCAACAGAACCTCTTAAACCCAAAAGTTTGAGGTTGCTGTGAGCTGTAACACCACTAACTCTACAGAGGGCGACAAAGTGAGACTGTGTCAAAAAATAAATAAATAAAAGTAGCCAGGTGTTGTGGCAGGTGTCTGTACTCCCAAATACTTGGGAGGCTGAGGCAAGAGGATTAATTAAGCCCAAGAGTTTGAGGTTGCTGTGAGCTGTGACTCCATAGCACTCTACTGACAGGACAAAGTAAGACTCTGTCTCAAAAAAAAAAAAAGAATAAGAAAACAAAAGAAAGAACACTATTATCAGTGTCACAGGAATAAAAAGGATTATAGGAGAATACATGAATAAAAATTAGATAACCTAAATGAAATGTAAAAATTCATAGAAAGATATGTCGTAGAAACCGACTCAAGGAGAGTACAGAGATTCTGCAGGTCATATTGTAAATCAACTCTCCTTATAATTGGTTTAA